CCCATTAGCCAAATGCAAATTAAAACCACAATGACATATCAATCCAGAATCCACACTTACCAGAACGGATAAAATAAAAAATGGTGACAATACCAAATGGTGCCAACAATGCGGAGCAACTGGATTACTCATACATTGCTAACAGGAATGTAAAATGATACAGCCTCTCTAGCGAACAGCTCGGCAGTTACTTAAAAAATGAACCATGTAAGTACCACACAACTCTGTAATTGCACTTCTGAGCATTTATCTCAGAGAAACAAAAATACATGTTTTTTTTTTTGTCTTTTTTTGTGACCGGTAAGGGGATCGCAACCCTTGGCTTGGTGTCACCCGCACCATGCTCAGCCAGTGAGCGCACTGGCCATCCCTATATAGGATCCGAACCCATGGTGGGAGCACTGCTGCGCACCCAAGCACCGCACTCTCCCGAGTACACCATGGGGCCGGCCCCAAAAATACATGTTCACAAAAAAAAACTTTATGAATTTATAGCAGCTTAATTCCTAATAGACAAAAGCTGAAAACAAAAACCCAGATGTCCTTCAATAGATGAATGGTTAAAGAAATGGTGGTAAATCCATACAATAGAAAACAAAGTCATCAATAAAAAGGAACAGACTGTTGAAATACACAGAAACTGGCATGTATCGTCAGAGGTTTATATTGAGTAAAAATAACATTCTTGAAATGACAAATTAAAGAAACAAATAACAAATAGTTGTTTCCAGGGAATGGGAGGGAAGATGGTATGGCTACAAAAGGGCAACATGATATTAATCCTTGTGGTGGTGTAAATCCTCTGTAACTTAACTGTATCAAAGTCAACATACTGATTGTAAAGTTGTACTATAATTTGGCCAGTTTTACCATTGGGGGAAACCAGGTAAAAAATGTGTATTCTCTCTGTGTTAACTCTCACAGCTGCATGTGAATTTACAATTATCTCATAAGAAAAAATTTTACGTAAAAATGTTTTAATGTAACTTCTTCATACAAGAATTAGTCTCCACCTCTTCTACAACCCTAATATCTTGCATTTATGCCAAACATACTCAGAAAAGTTATATTAATTATAAAACACTTCATCCTCTATTCTAACTACCATTTTAATCATCCACTTCCATAAACCTTCATGGCATCTAAACACAACAGCAATAATTATCATTACAAGCAAAGATTTTCACTTCTGTTTTTGCCATTAGATTACAAGCTTCATGAGGGGAATAAAACTAGTTTATTTTTATGTCTCCAAGATTAAATTTTTCTCAATAAACTAATAGTTCATCATGTGAAAATGCTAGGTGCCTAGATCTAACATATAGGCAAACCTGTATTTTTAAAAACTACAAACCTCCATTAAAGAATAAAATACCAAGGGGCCGGCCCGGTGGCGCACTGGATAAGTGCGCCACTTGGGAAGCGTGGCGGCACTCCCGC